GCTCGGAGTAATATATGGTTTCAATGTGTCGTACCGTATATCTTGTGTTCTTATGTCCTTTTTTCTTGTTTCATTTCATGCCGTTTGTTGGCTATCTAGTATCAACCACCACATTCTGATGATGAAAAAAACCCACCACATTCTGAAATTGAAGGAGATCTAGTGTAGCCCAGAATCATGCGAGACAATCTTGCAACGAAGGGAAATCTGTGGTCAATCAACCATCTTCTTCCTGCGTACCCAACAAAAAATATGTGATCAATCATTTGGAAACCGGAAGCCACCCATGAGGTTCATCGCTTCCGGTGGAGGGCCTGTAGAAACAGTCTTGCAACCAAGGAAAATCTGGTTCGGAGAAAGTGTGGCTCGTCCAAAGTCTGCCCTGTCTGCTATAGTCTAGAACATCTGCTCTTTGACTGCCGTTGGGTACGTGCAGTTTGGTTTGGATTAGAGCTGCAAATGAACCGAGTAACTCGCGAGCTCGAGCTGAGTGGAGCTCGGCTTGTTCGAAAAAAACTCGTCTCGTCAAGGGAGACTCGGCTCGATCAAAGAGACTCGGTTCGAAAATCGTTTAGTAAATGATTAAACTTGGCTCGTTAAGGCTCAAGCTCAAAGTTTTTGGGTTGTTTAGTAAATGAGTTGAACTCAAGCTCGACAAAGCTCGGCTCGTTTGCGGCCCTAATTTGGATGTCATGTACAACTTAAATGTGGGTCATGGTCCTCCTACATCTGTTCAAAGGTGGACGTTGCAGGTGGTGGATCTGATCCATTTCTTGAGCAGAGTGGTCACCATAGCTTGGGAAGTTTGGAAATCAAGGAATGAGTTTGTTTTCAAATCTGAGTCGGGTGACGGACTGGGTGGGGGTACGTGACGTGCTTCCACTCATTTTTACCGACTTCGTACATAAAGATTTTTTTGGATTCACCATAGGTTCCATGTAAATGATTGTAATCGTTCATTTTTTTACGGAATAATGTTTAAGCCTTTTTCTGAAAAATATCAACTCAACCGGATATCACCAAGCGCTTGTCCATTGTTTTGACTTTCGATTCAGAATTTAGGATTGCGAATTCTGAATCGAAACATGAATGAATAAACAAGCAAAGCTAAGAATTTGTACTTTACAAAATTAACGTGTCCGGCAAGGGCAGAACTAGAAATTTATTCCGCCCTGGGCTAACTAAAATGTATATATGTGACCAAAAGAAGGTAAACTCGTATAAAATATATAAATGTTTAAAAATAAACAAAAACAAAAGTATACAAGAGTTTTTCCTCCCTTTTATTTTGTTGTTCCATTAGAGTATGTACACCAGAGTAGCAAAAATAAAATATTAGCTATTATAGCAACCTAAAACCGAGAAAACCCACCTGCAGCAATTAGATAAAAGCATTGGTGAAATACATTTCGCTACAATGCTTCGGTATATATACTGAACGACTGTTCATCAACAATTTCTTTCATCTTATTTTTCATTTCTCTCTCTTGATTTCTCTTATATTATTAAACAATCTCAAAAAAATAAGTGCTCCAATTTTTCATTCGTTTGAATAAGTTCAAGATCTTATTTTTCTGATTATATTATTCTAAATTGTTATAATTAATTTTAACCATATTTTTAAATATATAAACTATCTAAAAAAAATTAAGTACTCCATTTTTTAATCCGTTTGAATCGGTGCGAAAATCTTATTTTTCTGATCATATTGTTTTAAAAGGTCATAATTAATATTTGCATCTAGAACTCTCATAATCAATGCTTTATTTGGATTGGGATTTGAAAAGTGTTTTTGAAAAATAGTAGGGGTAATGAGTGGAGAGAGATAGAAAGAAAAAGGTGGAAAGTAGGGGGAATCTAAGGGGAATTTTTTGAAAAATTCTTTTTGAATCGCGAAGGGAACAAGGCACAAGTATTTACCTTATAGGATTCCAAATAAAGCGCAGATACTTGATTACAAGAGTCTTAGAGACAAAAATTAATTATAACCATTTATGATAAAATGATCAAACAAATAATATTTTCACGCCGTTCAAATGGACGGTGGATTGAGCTAGGCTAAATAGGAGAATGGTGGGTTAGACTAAATTCATTTGGACCAAAACTTTACACATAATATTTTTTTCTTTTTTAATTCTTCCGGATTGCACCTGGGCTATAGCCTAGTGGAGCCCAAGTGTACTTCCGCCCTTGGTCCGGTCATTTGTTTGGGACTCGATGTGAACCCACACATTGTATCTATGTGAACCCGCACATTGTATCTGTAGACTTTTGGTTACCAAAATTTGTACACATAGAGTCATTAATAGAAAAATAGATGAACACATGATAATTTTTTTTAACGCATATAGTCGAGATACACAAATTTTCTCAAGTAACTAGTCAGTAATAAATAACTCCTTTACTTTAAACATTGTTATTTTATTTGGTGTGATTGTGCTTGATTTTACACAATAAATAAAAAAATACCCAAGCAAGAATTGCGTTTGCCGGGAGTCGAACCCGGGTCTATTGCTTGGAAGGCAATTATCCTAACCGTTGGACTACAAACGCTATTTGATTTGTTAAACTTTTGCCTTTGCCATTTTAACCTGTTTTCTTTTGTGTGTCAAATTAACAACCATAACTTTCCTGTTTTGGATATTGTCTTTTTCTTTGGCTGAAAATTCCACATGCCAAAAAAAAGTAAATATATCGAACAATATCTCAATAGTCGTATGAAAACATCTAGACAAAGAACATGGTAGTGTTCATCTCAAAACTGTTTTTGTTAATGTCAAAATTATTGTACATAAAAAGTTGTACCAAGTGCAAAATACAAGATTCTTAGGCACCAAAGTTTTGGCATTAACAAAAATAATTTTGGCATTATCACTCCCCTAAAGAGAAGCTTAAAAGTTGTCTAAAACAAACATACGGTCCGGATTGGATCGAATTCCTATAAATCCAATTCTAATCTGCGAGTTACGATTTTTAGAAAATGCAATTCGTTTCCAGACCAAAATTCCTACGGTATGGTCCAATCCGTAAGTTAAGGTTCGGTCTCGATTTTATCTACGGATTATATTCTATAAACCCTAAATGACAAATTCACGTCCCCCACCCCCCAAGAATGGAGTTAACAGTGGCAAATTAATTACTCTATTGTTCAAAACCATTCCCAGAAGAATGCTTTGAATGGAGTTAACAGTGTCTGACTTGGAATGAAGATACCAATGTCAAATTAAACTATGGTTACCGTATACATCACATTAAGGTAAAAATTGTAAAATAAAAAATTATTTACTAAATATTACATATATTTTAATTTTAAGTTATTATTGTTAAATATCTCACGGTGAGATTCGATTGATTCACGGTTTCATAATAAAAATCAGTGGACCAAACCATATCTCACGATTTTTCTAAATTTTGAATCCGTGTCCAGACCATTAATCTACGGATCCAATCCAAAACGTATGGATCAGTTCGGACCGGTTTCACAGTTCACGAATTTTTTGAACAATTTACTAAAACAATAAAACATAACAAAATTTATGCACTTGCAAGTTCTGTATCCAAAAAGTTTTGCCGCCCATGGTGGGCGGCTTAGGCCGTCTAGCCTAATTTAGTAGGACAATTCAACATTGATCTTCAATTCTCTCAGATCGGGTGTGCAGTAGATTCAGTTCAAAGTATAATCATCAATTCATAGTAGTGTCATTCTCCAAAGCTTAGGTAATCAACGGTTCATCATCATCAGTCCATGCCAACCCTTGGGTGGCAAACGTATATAGGAACCCAAAACAATATAAACAAGTATAGGTGCATATTTGCAGTCAATGTGGGACAGAGTTTACTCCTTTCGTTCTATTTTGTTTGTCCTTTTTGGTTGTTTGTGTCATTCTTTAAACGCTTATATCTTTCAACTTATAACATTTTTTCGTATTTTAAGAACTTTGTATTATACTGCTAATCAAGAACAATTAAACAAGATACATATTATATATTTTTTTAGATTCGTATTAACAGATATAAGCGATGAAATATTGACACGAACGATTAAAAAAAAAAGACAGAAAACGGGACGGAGGAAGGAATCAATGTTGCCGAAACGCAATTGATTTTTCGTTCTCTCAGTTCTCGGCACTTCGCAAAATCTATAGAGGGGCTCGGCCGCAGCGTGTGGATGAGGCGGCTGTGGTCCAACTATCTCTTTCTCCTCCCCAACAAACTCTCTCCGTCGACCGCTCTCAATTCCTCGCCCACGATCCCACTTCTACCGCCGCCGCGGGGGCCTCGGTTTTCCCTCCTCCTCCAACCGCCGCTGCTGCCGCTAGATTTCCTCCGCTGCTCACTCTTCCGCCCCTGCCGTAAAGAATGGAATAGTGAATCAGGGAGCAAAGAAGGTGTTAAAAGGAATGAGATATGGTGAATTTGAAGTACGTGAGTAAATGGATTACGCAATGATGCCTTTCATTCTCCTTTGTTTCGTGGCTCTAATTTGCTTGAATGCTTTGTGATTGGGGTTTTGATTGGCGGGGGTTAGATTTTAGAGTTGTGTTTGTGCTGTTTAGGACTTTAGGCATGCGAACGAACCAGGTTGTTTGCAATCAGCTCGAGGCTCGGCTTGGGTTGTTAGTTAACGGGTCAAGCTCGAGTTTTAAGCTTGTTTTGTAAAAACGAGTTCTAAAAGCTCTTCTCTTTTGTAGAGACTCGTTTAGTAAATGAACCAAGCTCGAATACCTCAATATTAAATGAGCTCGAGATCAACTCGTTTGCAACCCTAGACTACTACTGTCGGTTGTGCTTGTATAGCATTTCAAAACATTCATATCCCAGTTGTGAATGTTCTGGAAATTAGATCTAACAGACTTAACAGTTGTTCGCATTTTCGCATAATCAGATATTTAGGATTGTTGAATTCTTTTAGGCAGTATTCCATTTAAATATTGAGTTGAATGGTGATAAATTCATTTTCATATGGATGCAGCCAGATGATCAGTGAACCAAGCAAGAATTGCGTTTGCCGGGAGTCGAACGCGGGTCTATTGCTTGGAAGGCAATTATCATAAATCCTAACCGTTGGACTACAAACACTACTTGTTTAGTTAAAACTTTTGCCTATATGGATTTAACATGTTTTATTTTATATTTTCAAATTACCAACCATAGCTTTCCTGTTTTGGATATTGTCTTTTCTTCGCCTGAAAACTCCACATGCCAAAAAAAAGTAAATAGTTGTATATCGAACAATATCTCAATAATCATATGGAAACACTCGTCTATCTAGATAAACAAAAGCTTGAAAATTGTCTAAAACATTGGGATGTCCACGGTTCGGATTGGATCGGATTCCTATAAATCCAATCTTTAATTCGCAAGTCACGATTTTTAAAAAAGACAATCCTTGTCTAAACCAAAAATCCTACGGTATAGTCCAATCCATAAGTTAAGGTTTGATCTCAATTTTATCTACGGATTACACTCTATAAACACTAACCGACAAATGCAACCAAAAAAGAAGCCGCGAACAGTGGTAAAAATTGACGTTTTCTCCCCTAGGAATGGAGTTAACAATGGCAAATGCCACAATAGGAGTATCGCATTAACAATGGCAAATTAATTATACTATTGTTCATAATCATTCCCAGAAGAATGCTTTGAATGGAGTTAACAAATAACAGTGCCCGACTTGGAATGGAGTTAGTGGCAAGTTGAACTATTGTTACCATATATATCTCATTAAGATAAAAATTGTAAAATTAATTTTAAGTTATTATTAGTAAATATCTCTCATGGTGAGTTCGGTTAATCCACGGTTTCGTACTGGAAATCTGTGGACCGAATCGTATCTCACGGTTTTCTAATTTTTGAATCGGTTAATATATCCACGGATCCAATCCAAAATGTACGAGTTGATTCGGGCCAGGATAGCAAATGGGGGGATGGTGTTGTGCAGTGAGGTTTCACTGCACAGCTCCGAGCCGTCGAATCGTGCATCCGACGGCTCGAATCTCATCTCGTTTCACTACACAGCTCCGAGCTGTCAAATCGTGCATCCGACGGCTCGAATCTCATCTCGTTTCACTGCACAGAGCTGCACAGCTCCGAGCCGTCGAATCGTGCATCTGACGGTTCGAGTCTCATCTCGGCAATTAACAATTACAAGTTTTGTATTCAAAAAGTTTTGCCGCCCATGGTGGGCGGCTTAGGCTGTGTAGCCTAATTTTAGTAGGACGATTCAACATTGATATTCAATTCCCCCGGATTGGGTAGGCAGCAGATTCAGTGCAAAGTATAATCATCAATTCATTGTCATTCTCCAAAACTTAGATAATCAACGGTTCATCTTCTAATCATCAATTGATGAATTAGAGGTTCATCATCATCAGGCAATGCCAGCCCTTGGGTGGCAAACGGGTTTAGAAACCCAAAACAATATAAACAAGTATAGGTGCTGGTTCACAACCGATGTGGGACAGAGCTTACTCCTTTCGTTTCATTTTGTTTGTCTCTTTTCGTTGTTTGTGTCATTATTTAAACGTTTATATATTTCAATTTATAATGTTTTTCATATTTTAAAAACTTTGTATAATATAGTACTAATCGAAAACTATCAAACAAAATTTATATTGCATATTTTTTGAGATTCATATTAAAAGATATAGCAATTAAAAACCTGACACGAATATCAAGAAAGGTCAAAGAAAATACTCCACAGAAAAGCAGGTGACTTTCGTTCTCTCAGTTCTCAGCGCTTCGCATAATCAGTCATCAATGGAGGGGCTCGGCCACAGCTTGTGGATGAGGCGGCTGTGGTCCCACCATCTCCTTCTCCTCCCCAATAAACTCTCTCCGTCGGCCACTCTCAATTCCTCGCCCATGATCCCACCTCTACCGCCACCGCGGGGCCTCGGTTTTCCCGCCTCCGCTCGGTTGTGCATTTTATTTAGGATTTTGTGTGAGAAACTTTGATAGAACTGGGGGCGCAACTACTGAGGGTTAGGCTTGTTAATGATCAAATCCAATGCAATCCGAATTTGGTCAGAAAAATTCGATCCGAATTCGTTAACGTCGATTTGAAAATCCGAATCATGTAATCGAAATACAGATCGGATTACATCCGGATCGGATTAAATCCGTTATCAATCCGATTAGAACTTTATTTCTTTTTTTATTTTTATTTTTATTTTTTTTAAAATTGTAAATTTTTTATTTTTTTAAAAAAATGTTTAAGAAGTTGTATTTTTATTTTAAACTTGTATTTTTATTTTTAATTTTTCTTTTGGAAATTGTATTTTTTTCTAAAATTTTTGAAGTAAAACAGTTTTCGGATCGAATTCGGATTTATTTGTAATCTTCATTGTTCAACAGTGTATTTTTCTTCCCCTACCCCGTGGAGTAATATATATATATATATATATATATATATATATATATATATATATATGGTTTCAATGTGGGTACGTATATATCTTGTGTCTTTTTTTCTTGTTTGGTTTAATTTCATGCTTAATTAATGTTTCATGGGGTTTGTTGGCGAGCTCTGCTATTCGCAGGGAAGAGTTGCAAGGAACTACGCAAGGAAAAATGCGTTTGGACTCATTCTGGGTTCCACAAAAATCAAGAAAAATATCCATAAATCTTTTAATATTATTTTATGGGGTCCTGTAAAAAATCAGCTGCAACTGATATCGGTAAGTATTACTTTTGGATTCATATGGGCGAACTGAACAGTTTCGTCCATACGAATCCAAAAGTAATACTTACCGATATCCGTTGGAGCTGATTTTTTACAGGATCCCATAAAATAATATTCAAAAATTTATGGATATTTTTCTAAATTTTTGTGGGACCCAGAATGAGCCCAAGCACATTTTTTCTTTCGTGGTTTCTTGCAAATCGTCCTTACGATTAGAATTTCCGCTCGTTTGTTGGCCATCAATTAACCACCTCATTAATTCCGAGATTGAATTAAGGAGATCGATCCAGTGTACGTAGCCCATAATGAATCATGCGAGACAATCTTGTCTTGCTCAAATTAAAGGAAAATCTGTGGTCAATCAACCATCTTCTTCCTAATTTGTCCCCCAGGGCCCAGTACAAAGGAAGAAAAACCTACCTTAAACAAGCCTGCAGTATACGGAAGGTATAATGAGAGGAATTCTGTCTACATCTCTCCATGTGCGTGTAGTACTGTATTTCCATACCAATAATATTTGCTATTGCATACATATATTCATCATATATTACGTGGGTCCCTCATTGGGTCATGCATACACACGTAACGTAACGTCCATGCATACAAACGTGACGTCCCTCATTGAGTCATGCATGTACGTAGTATATAAACTTTCCAGGAAGTTTTTTTTTTTTTGGGTAAGTAACTTTCTTGGAACTGCCCGCAAATAAATCACGTATTACCAGTCATGTTATACATCGTGTTAAGGACGGAGTCAGGATTTTTTTGTACGAGAGGGCCGGCCAGGATTTTTAGATTTACAAAAGTCATGTTATAAATTGTGCTAGGGACGGAACTAGGATTTTTTGTACGAGAGGGCCGGCCACAATATGAACAATAAAATTTTGAAATTTCGATGTTCAAAAATGTAAAATATATGAATGACCAAATAATACCCATTACTAAACACACTATCTAGGTGATTTTAACAAACCAAAAACAACTAAAGGGTGAAAAATATAGTTTTTCAATACATTGTTGTTGAACACAAATTTCGAGTCTACGAAAAAGACGGGAAAATGCTGAACAATAGTCAATTTTATTGATGTATCAAAACTAGGATTACAATTTCTAATGAATTTCTAAGCAACTAAATTAATCCTCTGATTTTTTTCTTCGATTGTTGAAACGAGAGTTTGATGCTTGATCTCGAATCGAACGGCGGAATCTTCTTAGAGATTTGCGAAGAAGATGATGACTTAGGTTGAATGTTCTTTGGAGTTTTGATCCGAAGAACCTTCTTGTTGGATTTGGACTTGAGGAATTCTGAAAAGTTTGGATGCTTTAATCTTCAGAGCTCTGGAGTTGGATGCTTGAATGTGACGATGATTGATTGATGATCCAAAAATATGAGAGGGAGCACCTCTATTTATAGAGATGTGGGATGGAGAGTCATGGAATGTCCAACCTCCTTAATTTGTATTTATCTCTCTAATTATTTCCTTATAAGAAATAAAAGAAATAATTATAACTTGATAATTATACTTCTTTCTTTTATTTTAAGAAAGACAATTACAGTATTTGTAGAGAGAAATATAATTATTATTTTACTAAGTGATTTAATTTGATTGGTCAAACTTAATAAAAATAATAATAGCGTCACTTAGACATGTGATACCATTTGATTGCTCCATTTGTGTCACTTTAACATTTGACCTCAAGACACATGGCGACATTTGATTGGCCATTTATCCTGGCCTATTTATTAGATCCCGCAACACGTGGCAACTTGTAATTGGCTGAAAATTTTACATGCCTACAATTGTATCTCAAGCATGTATCAAAATGGAAGTTATCGACACATTAGATCTGAAGTCATATACGATTGAGTTGAAACTAATTGTCGCAATAATTTTTTTTCACTACATAAAACCAAAAGCTTTTGTGAGAAACATATCCTTCATCTGAAACATGTGTTCTGACAATATTTATAGTTGAAAGTGCCTTTTCGGATCCACTATTTTTAATTCGGTGGGGGCCACAATGTATAATGTTGATATTTAAACAAAAAAATTAACTTAAATAATTATGAAAATTCAAAACCACGCAGGGGCGTAGTCCCCATAAGCCGAAGTGAGCTTCCGTCTTTGTACGCCCCAGATTGCGAAAAAACTCAGCTTGTCATGGAGAGTAATTGTTATGCAAGCAGCAAAACCATGTATTGGCAGGACATGCACGTACAGAAAAGTGAAAAGGGAAGAACAGTTTCATGTTTGGTGGTACACCAATTATTATTGCACACCACACGTGCCATAATTATTATTACGTAAACTTTCTTAACACATATTACTTTACACATAATAGTACACATCATCTTTAACAACAGTACAAGCCAATTATTTCACCCCCTCTCAGA